CCGTGAAATCTCTGGAAGTTGTCATGATTTTAGGCTAAAGTATAAATGCCTTAAACTTTATATGATTAGAGTTTTGGCTCAAAATATGAAATCTATTATAAATGATTTTAAAAATGTATGTTACCACGCTCAATATTTTCTAGAAATTTCTTAACTGTTTGTCTAAATCATATTGCTGAGTAATATGCAATGATTTTTAGAAGCTTTATTATTAGCAGTTTTTTGGTGGAGGTCATATTTTGCAATAACTTAACGTAGTTTTAAAATACTTGTTTCTATGGGAAATGTTTTCAATTCTACCATTGTTTCAATTTACAACTATGTATATGGTTCTTAAAATGAATTCCATCTTGATGCAATTTAAATATCTCTGGCGTAGCTTGATTATTTAGTAGTAATAATCAGAACATTTTTATAATATTAATTTTAACTGAATTCCTACTTAATGTAACTTATATAATAAAATTTGCAATAAATAAATTCACTGTAATAAATTTTAATAGATTCTTACATAATTTACAATTTAACAATAATGTAATAGTATTTAATATAATAATTTTCTATTGCTAATTTTTATGTTTTTAATTATTGAAAATGTTTATAGTATAATTGAATATGACATATTAACATTTGATATAATAATTTTTATTGTTATTTTACATTATTTTTACTAAATGGAAATGCATATAATATAGAATAACCTAAAATAACGTTTTCGTAATGTTTATGTATTACAGTTTCATATTATCATTTACAGAATTTGAAATATCAACTATTTGTATTAAATTAATAAATATATCAAGACAATAAATGGTTCAGTTTTATGGTTAAACAAGAGGTAATTTAAAGCGTAATGATGAGTATAAATCCTAGAAATCACAAATGAACAGGGTAATACTTTGTATAGTTTTTTTGCTATTATATTGAAGAACCTTTGTATTTTATAATGCCACATAACATTTTTATGAAACTCAATAATGTTGATCTTAGTTGGGAACATCGACGCACGAATCTCGATTGGTTCTAATTGTTATGATTAGTTAGCCAGTAACACAATTAACATTTTAAATTGACTAAACTTGGCGAATCAAGTAAATTGCTTGCTGAATTTACGTTTAACTATCGCTGACATCCTCATTTTGTCATTGATATAACAAGTGTTAAGGACTGTACATAAGTTGAATTGTGTAATTGTATGAGACTGCTTTATGCCATTAAACAAAAGATAATTTTAGCAATGATTACCGATATATGTACACAAAATAATAGTATAACATTATATACAACTAAATATGACAAAATGAGCTTCTGTTGTGTCCGGAGATGCGGAGGCCTGACACTTGAGTGCCAGGAATGGGAGGTCGTCCACCAGTTCCTGTGGTGTATGTGGAGTGTCGGTGTTTGAGGCCGAATCGGTGTATCCGAGAGGTACGGCTTTATGTGAGATGACTCGGCAAAGGGATTGTCAAGGATAGGAAGTATGTAGAGGTCGTAACTAATTAATTAGTGAAGTTAAAAATAATTTTTGATCATTTATCATTAAATGAATCTTATATACGTATATTTATATAATAGTAACACTAAAAATCAATAATATAAACATAAATTCACAAGTTGGACATGACCATTGCAATTAAAATTATTAAATGCTAAAGTAACATTGCACACTCGTTCATAAGTATAGAAACTTTTTAATTCAAAACCAATTCATTAATACATTCATTAAATCTTATTCTTGATTAAATTTATCTAGGTCATAATGCCAATAAATAAGACTCGACCATATGATAAATATGAGGGTTAAACATATTGAGCGCCGCCATCGACCACGAAGTTGCATCCGGTCACAAACGACGCCTCATCGGACGACAAATATAACACGGCTTTTGACACATCCAGGGGCTCACCCACCCGTCCTATCGGGCACCTCTTGACAATCTCTTCGTATAATTCATCGGATTTTGCTTTAGTAACGTTACGATAGATTTCGACAAACTCTGACTTAACGGGACCGGGACTATTAACGTAAACATATTTAATGTAACAAGCACAGTAATTTTATATTAATCAATTCCTAGCGAATATAAGCAAGCACATACTTGATAACGTTAGCCCGGATGCCTTTGGGGCCCAACTCGAGCGCTACGCACTTTGTGAACATATCCAGCGCCGCCTTTGACATTGGATATATTGGCTTTCTCTATTGACAAATTTAAATTATATTTAAACAGGGTAATTCAGTAAGTAACTTTACAAAAGATGCATGGCTAATAAAAGCATTGAACCTTTTTAATAGGTTTTTGAGTGCACACTTATTGAATGAGCATGCATATAAAAATAAATATAAATATAATAAATGTTTTATAAATAAATACCGGTTTAAAGGCCGAAACGCTCGACACGTTAACGATATTACCCTTAGTTTTCTCCAAATGCTCGACACATAAGTTAGTCAACCGTACGACTGACCGCAGGTTTGTGTTCATAATGAGCTCATACTTGTCGAGGATATCCCCGTCCCATATTCTCGACACTGATCCCCGACCCGCGTTATTGACTAAAATGTCCAGCTTTTTGAACGTCTTGATAGTGTCTGAGACTAATCGGCGACAGTCGTCATCGTTGGTGACATCGGCCACCACTTCCAGGGCTTTAGCACCGGTAGGCGACGCCTCAGCACACTGTTGAGCCACAGCGGACACCCTATCTTTCCTGCGACCGGTGACCACTACATGAGCCCCCAGTCTGGCGAACTCTACTGCAGTGACAGCACCGATACCACTGGTCGAGCCGGTAATCAGCACTACTTTGCCCGTGAAATCTCTGGAAGTTGTCATGATTTTAGGCTAAAGTATAAATGCCTTAAACTTTATATGATTAGAGTTTTGGCTCAAAATATGAAATCTATTATAAATGATTTTAAAAATGTATGTTACCAC